CAACAGCGTCACCCACACCGACAACAATAACAACAACAACAACAACAACAACAACAACAACAACAACAACAACAACAACAACAACAACAACAACAACAACAACAACAACAACAACAACAACAACAACAACAACAACAACAACAACAACAACAACAACAACAACAACAACAACAACAACAACAACAACAACAACAACAACAACAACAACAACAACAACAACAACAACAACAACAACAACAACAACAACAACAACAACAACAACAACAACAACAACAACAACAACAACAACAACAACAACAACAACAACAACAACAACAACAACAACAACAACAACAACAACAACAACAACAACAACAACAACAACAACAACAACAACAACACAACAAGCAACACAGCAGCAGCAGCAGCAGCAGCAGCAGCAGCAGCAGCAGCAGCAGCAGCAGCAGCAGCAGCAGCAGCAGCAGCAGCAGCAGCAGCAGCAGCAGCAGCAGCAGCAGCAGCAGCAGCAGCAGCAGCAGCAGCAGCAGCAGCAGCAGCAGCAGCAGCAGCAGCAGCAGCAGCAGCAGCAGCAGCAGCAGCAGCAGCAGCAGCAGCAGCAGCAGCAGCAGCAGCAGCAGCAGCAGCAGCAGCAGCAGCAGCAGCAGCAGCAGCAGCAGCAGCAGCAGCAGCAGCAGCAGCAGCAGCAGCAGCAGCAGCAGCAGCAGCAGCAGCAGCAGCAGCAGCAGCAGCAACAACAACAACAACAACAATAATAGGGGCAACAGCAACAAGACGAAGAACAAGAGCAATCGCAGCAGCAAGCAGCAGCAGCAACAACAACAACGACAGCAACAGCGACAGCAACAGCAGCAACAACAACAGCAGCGACAGCAAAAGCAACAGCATCAGCAACAGCAAGAACAACAGCAGCAGAGACAGCAGCAGCAGCAACAACACCACCAACAACAACAGCAACAAGAGCAAGAACAGCAACAGCAACAGTAGCAGCAGCAACAGCAGTACTCATTAATCCAAAAATTGAATCTAGTAGCAAGAAGAAGAAACCTTCGGGTCTTGCCTTGTGCCAGGCCAGCCTCCTAGTGGTGCGGTCCTTCCTCGCTGCGCCGGAGTTGCGGCCCAGCGCTCGGGAGGCCCTGAAAGACAAGTGGCTGGACCTGCGGGCGGCCGCTCGGATGGGAACTTTGCTGGGGGCAGGGGCGCTTGAAGGTTATTTTGGGCCAAGAGCTGGAGAGATGAAACAAAGCTGTGCCCTAAAAACTGGAAGAAAAAACTACATATGAGGGGCAGGGGAGGTGGTGGTGTGGGGCGCGTGTGATGCGGTGATGGGTGCGATGCACACTGTGCAGGCATACCGTGCTTTAGAAATGCAGCGGGAGTTCCCGTTTTGGATGTTCTGGGGTTGGGTGGCGTGGGATGCGGTGATGGGTGTGATGCATACTGTGCCTGTTTGGCTCTCATTAGACATGCGCTAGAGACAGGGGTGTTTTGCAAGGCGGATGTTCTGGCTGGAGAACCCAGCATCACAAACGAAGTCTTGGCAGGAATGTCCAGCTGATTAGGTTGGATATCACGAGTTGACAGTGAGCGTCTTCGTTGTCCGTGAACTAGGAAGGTTCACACACACACACACACAGCCTCCCATAGAGCAGCTAAGTACGAGTGTGTACAAGCATGTGCTGTACCAGTATGTATAGATATGTAAAGCTATGTGCGCGAAGATGTACAAGAATGTACAGATATGTACAACTATGGTACAGCTATGTACGAGTAGATACAGGTATGTGCAGGCATGCGCAAGTATGTACAAGAAGTTACAGACATGTACAACTATGTTCGAGTAGAAACAGGTATGTACAGGCATGCGCAAGTATGTACAAGAAGTTACAGATATGCGTAGCTATGTACGAGTATATATACAGGTATGTGCGGGTATGTGCAAGTATGCACACTGTGTACGAGCATGTACAAATATTTACAGGTGTGCGCAAATATGTACAAAGCATTTTGGCCTAGCAGAAGCAACGTGTCGGTCGGAAACGGCGTAGGGCTTGAATTGGCAGGATCAGTAGAGAGACCATACAGTTTGAGAGTCCGAGGCCACCAACAAGAGCAAGAGAGTCCCAGACATCATACGCATGTCACAAGCAAGTCACATGGCAAAAAAGGCACAGTCAGGCAGGAGGATGCAAGGAAGGGAGTGGAAGGGGAACCTGAAAAACCTAGCACGCTGCATTGCGGGTGTAGAGAAGGGCAAACCTGAATCTGAACAACCAAAGGGCAGTCTGAACAGGACTTGCGGTGAAACGTTCGGGGCCTCTGGAGGATCCCTCGGAGCAACCAGGTTGCGCTTGAATCCGTGTACATAGTTTTCTGGCTTGAATCAAAATCATTGTGTTCGTGAGGGGACCCTTCAAAAGTTCAGCTGCTCCGTACGCGTCTGAAATCGGCAGCGAGTTCTCAGCTCAAAATCAGCCTTCTAGAAGGAAGGCTTGCATGTTGCGTAGCGCGCCCACAATCAAACGCATGCTATGTTTTTTCCTGCAAGTGGTCAAAGGTCGCGTCAAAGTCGTTGTCATGCATTCATACATGCAACATGTTCCCGAGATTGTGCTTCAATTCTGTTGGGAACCCTGCGCTTTGGGACGGGATATTGGCTAAATCGCAGTTATGTGGAGCTTTTCGCTGGCGGGTTTCCCAGATCAAAAGTCATGTCGCTTCCGAAACATCGGCCTACCCTGGAAAGCTCATAAGTTTTTGAGTCCAGACGAGGGACTCATGATGTCAGTGGACCACCAGGCGAACGAGCACATTGGACAGGGAGGTCTTGCGCGTGGAGAGGGATCCACGCCGTGCCTATGGTTTGTATTTGACTCTCAGCTAGTTGGATGAGAAGTTGTCGGCTGGTTTTTCAGCGCCCTGAGCGGACTCAGGAGTATCTGCACTGCAATCCTGAACCTCCCCTGCCCGGCATGCTGCAAAAGCCATTGGAGCCTGCTGAACCAAACCATGCCACTGAAGTCGGCCACGTCAATGAGCAGGACTGGAGCAACGGTTTTGGGCATTCAGAGTGTTTGCTGCTACACAAAAGCGGCGTGTCAGGGGCCTGTTTTTGCCCTGCCCGTTATTGTGAAGGGGGAGACATATGTTAGCTGGTGCCTGTGACCCAGCCACTCGTCACTTTTGGTACAGAACTGTTGCGCGTGACGCTATAAATGGACGGCGTGTTCTAATTGCTTCCATGCTTGTTTTTTGTTTGCCGGCTCAAGTTCAGAAGGAACCACACTGAAATGTTCCACGGCCAGTTGAATAAACAGTGCCTGCGTCAACAGGAAATCCTGCGTTATATAGTCTTTACTTGCCCCCTTCTGACACATTCGCCCGCAGTGAGCATGAGTTATGTTGGGAGTGGGGGTGGGGAAGAAAGGCAGTCTGTACAGATGTTGTCTTCTGCTCGACTCGAGCGCTGCGTGCTTTCCTGGCTAAAGTCATTGCTTGTTTCCTACCGTTCAACGCGCATTCCCGGCTTGCGCCGCCACTTTTTGGAAGACGCCAGCCCGCCGAGTTTTTCTTGACCGACGCAGGACATTTTGGCCATCCGTGTGCCGATGAGGGTCCCCATCTCCCGGCGCTGCGCCCGCGCACTGGGCTCATGCACGCGGGGCGCTGTCTGGGCAGCGGGGCAGGTGGCATGGGTCTTTTCCAGGCGGTCGAACGACGTGAGCAAGCTGGGTTTTGACGGGGTGATGAGCTAAGCCTACTGCGCGCGGAAAGCCCACGGGCAGAGCTCACATGGGGAAGTTTGATGATCGTGAATGCGGGCCTTGGCTTTTCCCAGCGCCAGGCAGCTGTCAGGGTTTCTGCCCGAAATGTGGAAGGCAGGATTTTTTTGGTCGGACATCCGCTGAACGACGCGATTAATGATTGATTAGGTGCAAATGTGCCGTGCGACTGCAACTGCCATATGTTGAAAGCTTTCTGTGGTGGGTTCTCTCTTGCTTAAGATGGATGACAGAAGCATCAGAGCATATCACACACTGGTCTCTAGCCCCACCCAATCGCAGAGCGAGCCGCCTTTTCCCGGCAAAGCTGGGTAACCCAGAGTCTTCTGCCATAGGCAGTGCCAAAAATGAGGATTGTACAGCATTGAGTTGTGTGTTTGACAAAGCTTCGGCTCATTCTGCTGCAGGCATGGCAGCAACTGAACTGAAATCCGTGCTTTGTTTGGCAAGCCTGCTTTGACCATTGCGCTCAGATAGCCATGGCCGCATGTGCCCATGGTTGCTTCGTATTGAAGCGGCGCGCAGGTTTCTTGCCATCCTTCAGGCTGTCAGGTGATAAGGCCTTGATGTGGGTTCAGCAAGGCAGATGTCGGAACAGAAACACACAAAGCTCATTTTGTTGTTGCTCAGTCGTCTGTTTGCCTGCACGACAGGCACCAGAGTTTGATGGTTGAAGCTGATTTTACCGAGCCCTGCTCAGCACAGTGCAGGGTTTTCCAAGGCCCGGTCGGGCTGATGACTTTCCGTGCTGCTGGACCTCTCAACTGTATGTCAAACAGTCTGTTGGGAGAGGGCCAGACGCACTGCCGGTGCTCGACAAACCGCTCGAAGCGCTGACGAAGCTTCCGTGGATTCCCAGCTTGCCTGAACCTGCTCAAATGTTGATCCCTGATTAATAACCCCGCCCCCCCCAAATATTAATCAGGGTTCCCCACTAAAAAGGGCCCCCCTTAGGAGTGGGAGGTTTATGAATCAGGGGTCAGCTGCTTGGGGGACGGGCTTGCTCGACCTTCAATAGCCGTGACAGGACTAAACACATTGCGGCCCCGCACCGAGCGATGCACTTGCGGTTTCTTTGTTTTGTTTGTTTGTTTGGGGTCCTCTGCTTTAGTTCCGCGCGCTCGCTGCACGGCCTTGACGACTGGGAACTACGAACCGGAACCCAGGAAAAGCTTCACACATTTCAGCTCGGAGGGCGAGAAGCGGGGGGAAACGGCTCAGGAGTTCAGCTTGGATGAGGGGCTGGACTCTCAGTTTTGCCCTGGGTGCCATGGTGCGGACGGTCAGCCGGAAACCGGCGAGAGGCGTCCTGACATGGGTTTGTATGAGGGGTGTGTTTTTTTCCAGACGTCAAGAACACATTTCTGACGAGACATGTCACTCATCCCTTCGCATGCATGTGGCGCATGCAAAGCTTTCAGGCAAATGGTTCATCCCTTCACCTCGGGTGACCTCTTGAATTGAACAGGAATTTCCATGTCCCATGCCCTCAAAAGCTCACGCCTGACTCTGTACCTGGGAGAGGGTTTTTCTTTTCCGCTAAGGATTCAGTAGAGGTCCAAAGAGGTGGGGACCAATCCATGGCGAGCCCCTGGTCCACTGGTTACACAACTCCACTTTGTTTTCATTGGTGGGCAAAGGACAACTCACGAATTCAAGCTGTTGAGCTCCATGCGCACCTGAATGGTATTCGATGCAAGCCCCTTCCTCTCATTAGGGGGACCACTTTACGGCATCCTGCCTTTCGTGTCACCCTTCTCAAGTCATGCATATTCAGGGGGGTCTCTAGCAATGAGGGGACATCCGTGAAGGCACAGGCTGACGAGCATTTGGATGTGTCCCTTAAGGGCCGATGCCCTTCTGCTTGGAAGCGCGCGTGCGCCTGTGAGATCTGGAGATCTTGCTGCGCCTTGGGTCTGTCCGACACTACCTCTCTCTCTCTCGCACGTATTCTAAATGAAATGGAGTCCCCAAAAGATGTGCGGGGCTTGCCTCCCCTAAGGCTCCCAAAGGAACTTATGCCTACCAAACTCTTTCAGGAGCTCTCGCCTCCACTTGCTGGTGCGATAGGGAAGGGAATGACCCCAGGCTTTGATCCGAAAGGAAGCCACCAGGTTGGTTGGATGATTTCTCGGGGTCGGGGGCCGATTTCTCAGGGCTGATCTCAACTCAGCTCAGGGCCGAAAGTCCAGATTCGGAGAAGCCGATGACGCCGGCGCCGGCCGCCTCAGTGGCAGAGTTGGCCAACTTCGGGCCCCTTTTGGGGGAGTGACGCAAGCTGGGTGTGTCATCGGACTTTTTGGGAGTTGGTAGGCCTTTGGCTGGAGCCGGACAACCACAGTTCCTTTTTTTCTTCTTCATATATACATATTATATATATATATATATATATTACAATATTTATTTAACACCCACATCCACCCCCCGCCAAGCGAGGACAGCGGCCGGCAGCGCGGTGAAGACGGTGAAGGAGCTCAAGGAGGCCGCCAAGGAGGGCAAGGAGTCGCCCAAGGAGGCCTTCAAGGAGCAGGCGAAGGACCCGAAGGAGCCGCCGAAGGAGGCGCCGAAGGAACCGGAGGCGAAGGAGGCGCCGAAGGAGGCGCCGAAGGAGGCGAAGGACGCGGGCAACGAGGCGAACGAAAGCCCGGAAGGCAATGAGAGCGCGGACGCGGCCAAGGCCAGGGTCGCTTGGCGGCTTGTGGCGTGGACCATGCGAATTGGTGTCGGAGGGCGAGAGCGAGAGAGAGAGAGACTGCCCCCACACGTATCGCAAAGCATGCGGGCTTCCTGGCGGGCCAGGCCTAGTTGCCTGGATGCCCCGGGGTTCGCGGGTTCGCGACCTGCACTGAAGAGGCTGGAGCGGGCGCCTCGCGGATGAAAGTAGGCGTTCCACTGTGCCAAAAAAATGTCTGAGACTGGCTGTCCTGTGTTATGCACGTGTTGCTACTTGCATTTGACGATATGGTTGCCCACTACCCATCTTTACGGAATTTATGAAATGCTGAGGTTAACCTCGCAGAATGATGCCGACGTAGCCGGACATCATTTTGTGACAGACCTCTCCACTTGCATCTGAAAAAAAAACAAATCAAGGATTCGCCTGTGCATTTGTCACAACCACAACTTGTAGATATTAGCAGGGGCTTGCTACTCATTTAGGTATTGCCGGCTCGTATGTTTATTTGAGCCGATGTTCGGAACACAAAATGCTGCGGCTCCCGCAGGTGTTTGGGGCTGGCATTCGGATGTTTCGGATGTGTCGAACACAGCCCAGGACGCCCGGCTCAGACCTTTTTTTTGATGGTAGGTCTGGCACTGGCATGTCCTCCAATTTCTTCGGGTGGCTTTGCAGCCCAACAACGACCGCCCCGCGCGTGTTGAGACCTTCAAGGAAAACCAAGTTGACCTATACAACGGTGCAACGTGGATCCAACTTGAAACCCTACAAAGCCCAAGAAGAAGATGTCTGGAACAACTTTTTGTTTTCTCAGGTTGTGCCAAGTGGTCGCAAAGAGCACCAAAGTCCCTGCTCTTTCAGACGCACATGCATTTTTTCCACGCTCTTCCCTTACCACTCCTTCAGCACTCCTTTAGTCCTCTTTTAGCGTCTGCTGTTTTGGCACTCTCTTCGCGCCCACTCTTTTAGGACTCTGTTAGCTCTTTTACCGTCTCGTCTTTGCCCGCTCCTTCAGGACTCCTTGAGCTCTTTTGACACTGTTTTTGCGTCTACTCTTTTGAGACTTCACTCTTTTAGCGCTCTTTTAGTGTCTACTCTTTTGGCACTTTCAGCACTTCTTTGGCACTCTTTTAGTGTTTTCTGTTTTAGGGTCTACTCTTGTGACACTCGTTTCGCGGCTAGTCTTTTAGCAGCACTGTTTGAGCATCTGCCGTTTTTCAGCATGTTTTCGCTACTCTTTTAGCACGCTTTGAGCATCCACTCTTTTGGTACTCTTTTTGGTACTCCTTTACGACTAAAAGCAGACAATCCAGAGTTCTCAAACCACAGGTCGAGCATTGACCAACTCTTGATCTGCCAGGTCCGGGGGAATGTCTTTGGTGCATCGCTAGAGCCTTAGCCCGATCTTGCTGACACCCTGCAGCCTGGACAAGTTGCCACACTGGAAAGCACGGGTTCCGTGATGAGCTGAGCGTTTGGTCGGAAAAATCCTAGCCCCGAATCAATCCAGGTTCAAAGGGGCCATACAAAAAACCCTTTGAATTTTGTGAACAAGGAGCCCTGACAACGTACCATTTGGTCGTGCTTAGGATCTGATGGAAAGCCTTACTTGGTAAATTGGGATGCTTGGACTCTCCGTGCCCTTGCTGAGAGTTTTTGCGCTTGCAAGCAGTGAACTGGTTGCCGAGGATCGTCAGGTCCCGGCAAGTGACGTCCAAAGGACAGCCGGACATTTTCGGCTCTGTCACTTAGCCCCTGCCCGGCCTGCAAGGCTGGGACAGGGCTTGAATCCTTGGCCTGCAGCCCGGAACGCAGAAGAAAAGCGACTTGCAGAGAGAGAAGAAATCGTCTTCGGCTTTCCGAGCTGTTCGCGGGAACTGGGGCCGTGAGCGCGAATGCGCCCTGGGCTCGTTGAGTCTGAAGGTGGGAGCTGCCCTTTAAAAAAACACCCAGTTTTGCCGCAGCCGCAGCTGAAGTTGCAAAGGCTTTGCGAGATCCTGTGACCATAGGTGTCCTTTTTGGTTGTTTTGGTCGAAAAATAGATGGCCCTGGTTTACCTGGTGGTTTAATCATCTACCAGGGCCATCTATTTGCCCCAAAAGGACCCCCTATGCTTGCCACGCTGACGTGACTGCGGGCTGTTTCTCACCTTCTGCCCCTAGTTTCACCCGGGTGCCGCGGGCTCAGGCCGTCGGCGTGTGTTTTACTCTCAGCCGCAAAGCATGGAGATGGACGCGCCTTTTCGCCAAGCCACGGGTCCCTCATTTGGCTCTCTCCAGGCCCAACCAGGCGTCTGGACATGGGGCAAGTGGCGTGGGGGAAGCGCATCCACAGCTCCCGGCAGAATGTCTCACCAGACGCTTGCGTGGAAAGGCTGGGAGGAAAACACCTCGATCAGATTGTTTAAAACATGTTCAGTGTTTCCTTGGTTCGACTTCTTGGTTGCGTTGGGTTTCGCCCTTGCAGCGGTGCACACGTGCATGCTTATACTTGCATGATTGCAGATATGTGCAGCTTTCTTCGCACATGCACATGCACATATGCTTGTTTGCCTGCTTTCTTGGGTGAGTGCGTGCTTTCGTGCTTTCGTGCTTTCGTGCTTTTGCCTGCCTGCCTGCCTGCCTGCCTGCCTGCCTGCCTGCCTGCCTGCCTGCCTGCCTGCCTGCCTGCCTGCCTGCCTGCCTGCCTGCCTGCCTGCCTGCCTGCCTGCCTGCCTGCCTGCCTGCCTGCCTGCCTGCCTGCCTGCCTGCCTGCCTGCCTGCCTGCCTGCCTGCCTGCCTGCCTGCCTGCCTGCCTGCCTGCCTGCCTGCCTGCTTGTCTGCTGCTCTGCTTGCTTGCTTAATGGCTGGCTGGCTGGCTGGCTGGCTGGCTGGCTGGTGCTTTGCGCTTGGTTGGCTGCGGGTGTTTGCAGGCAGGCTTTTCCTTTCCAGTTGCCCTGGCTTAACCAGACATGTAACTCAGAGGCCGGAAAGGCATGCTCGACATGTTTTACTGTCAGCTTTGCAGTCATCAGGTAAGATCAGGATAGGTCAGGCATGGCCTGTCCGCCTTGGGCATACAAACGCCAGCTACCTTTTTTTTCCATTAAATAAAGCCAGCTGTGTTTTCCAAGCAGAAAGGATCTTTTGACGCTACCGGTTTCGGGCCTGAATCGGCCCAGCAAGCTCGGAGGACACTCGCTCCACAGGGTGGGAACAATCGCTCCACGAATTGCGGCGAGCATTCCGGACGCACCAGGCATTATATGGCCGTGAAGTTTAATAGGGAACCCCCCCCAAAAAACAAACAAACAAAAACACGTGGTTGGTGGACATAAATCCCCACCTAAATTTTGTCCACCAAAGGGTCCCTGATTAAAATTCATACAAACCCATCGCCACCCTGAGACTCAGACAGCCATGATTTGAGCTGATGCGGCTTTTGGTCGGCCTTGCGCCCGGTTGCGCAGAAGCTTGGCTGCAGCGTGATAAGTCTGGGCTTGTCCAGCTTGCAAATGGGCAATGCGTGAGGCATAGGGTTCTGTATGGCTTTAAGACATGCGCGTTGTGTGTCTGTGTATGTGTGTGTGTGGGCGTGCGGGCGTGCATGTGTGCGCGCTTGCGCACGCCTTTCGCAATTCAGATGGCGACTTGTTGATCCAAGGGCTATTTGGTGAGGTGCAGCCTGGACACGTCCCAGGACTCAGAAGGAAGCTGCTGCAGGCGGGTCGGTGCGAGGAACAGCGGCCAAGCATCAAGCTGTCCGATTCGAGAAGGCTGGCTGTTCTCCTAGTTCCCTTTGGTGGTCCCCAACGGGTCCAGTGGAATTGAAAGGGTATACTGCACCAGGTGTCGTTTCAGGCAGGAGTCACGCTCCAACTTTCCTTTCAGCGCCCAGGGCTGTGGGGAGAGAGCGAGAGAGAGAAAGAGAGAGCGAGAGAGAGAGAGAGAGTGGGTGTGTGCGTGTGTGTGTGTGTGCGCGTGTGTGCGTGTGTTTGTGTGTTGCCCCAGTAGTGCCCTTTCATCCTTTTTTGGGGAGGGTTCCCCTACTAGAATAGACAACTTATTCTAACCTCTCAAATCTGGAGGAGGTTGGCTTAGCGCAGCCTACCCCAAGCCCCGGGCTTGTGAGGCGTGCCTTTCATGAGACCTGGCACTACAACTTCGACAAGCTCCTGGAAGGCTGCGCGGCGGCGGCGGCGATCCATGGTGGCCCCCCAGATGATTTTATCAAAGAAGGATGCGTTTCCTGCGCTGCGGGAAGCGCGTCCGCTGTTCAAAGGCATTCAGACCAATTCTTCCCTTGAGTCAGAAAAGGGTCAGGGGGCCTACTTTTTGGTAGTTTCCCGAGTTCCCTTGGATGGTCGTCTCAATCTATTTGCGCTTTCCAGTGCTTTTTTTTGCAGTTGGCCGGCCCTTTTGGTGGAACTGAAAATGCGAGCTCGGCTTGCCTTTGCAAGCTCCCCTTCTTCCCTTCGGAGTTCATTCCACGCTCTCTGCCTCAGACCTTTGGCCTCGCAACCAAGGGCCGAGGCCGGCGTTCCACGTGCGGTGGCAGCTCCATCAAGGCCAGGCGCACTGCCTGGTGGAGGACTGCGAGGAGTGCCCGCGCCTGGCGCCGTGGCTGCATCTCCAATGCTTGAGGAGATGAAGCTGGATTCGTGGGGATGAATTTGGAGTCGTCTGACTTTTTTGACCCTTATTTCGAGACACACCCATTTCCTTGAAGTAATTAGGAAGTGTTGTTCGCAAAGCTTGGCACAAGCTTGGCACATCATGAATAACTCACCCGTCTTATCCTTGGCGAATGCTAGCTCAGAACTTGTGCATATCCCAGCCTTCTGCTTGGGACTCCGGTTTTTGGAAGGCACAGCTTTTTGAGCCTCCCAAGCCAACCAAACTCCGGAGCTCCCTCAGCTTGTCCTGTCCCAGGTCGTCCCCTTCGCCTTCTTTTTTTTAGAGCATAGGTTTTTTGGGTGTTGGGTGGGGGTGTCCATTTCAACACATCCACTAGAAAAGAGCTCGTTTTTCGCGGATCCAAATCGAAAACGGACCCGGTTCTGAGGTGAGCCCCGCAGCGGGCTGGGACTCCTATGCCTCCCAGGAGCTTTGCCCTGGAGGCGCCAACAAAAAGGGCTCGCTTCCGGCTGCGGTCGCGCGCACTTTTTTTTTTGGGGGGGGTTGGGGCCACTTGGCCACTTGGTGCCTCCCAGCCATCGTCGCTTTTTGTCGTCAGTTTCTTGTGTGAGTTTCTTGTGTGTCTTTCTTTTTTGGGGGGTTTTGGTGGTAGTTTTCCATGTTTGGAGAGGGGGTACTGCTGACTCTGCATGGCTGCGAAAACCATTTCGCACTTCAGAAACCCTTGATTCGATTCCCAAACGTAAATACCATGGCTTCAAAGCGGTGCAGGATTCCGTCCATCCACAGTATGAGGGTGTCCCGAAGGGTTCAAGTGGGGGGGGGGGATTCAGACCACTGGGAGAGGAACACCCCGATATATTAGTGAATCTGATGAATCCGGGGTCAAGATTATGGTAGGGAGGTGAAACTGGGGCCAGCTGGACACCAAGCACGACATGTGACGCGACATGTGCGAGAAGTGGCCTGAGCCATCACATGGCATTGGCAGAATCATCAGGTTGGGCTTTTGGGATTTGCGATTGGTGAGGTTCAATGCTGATCATTGGCGACTCCTTCTTGAAAAGTGCCGGAGACCCAACTGTGGCGGCTGAATGGGCGGGGTGGAAAGGGGGATTCGTCCAAGTAAATCAGATGACATAAAATGTGGATTGTGCAAGTGCCTGCTGCCTAGGCCTTGCGCAGCGTTTGGTTGACTTAGCAAGCACCGGTGCAGAAGGGCAAGGACGAAAGCACCTGCCCGTCAGAATCCATGGGGTAGCCAGGTGGGAGGCCATGGGGGCCGGTTGGGATGTGAGCCACGGAAGGCGTTGTAGTTCGAGGTGACAGGGGGGCCATGACATGGGAACCGCACTTTGCCAGTGGCTCCCGTGTTTGTGTAGAGAGAAGGGCTCACCTTGCAGGCAAGAGTGGTACTGTGCATGAACGAAATTCTGCACCATCTTGAAACCATGGGAAATCCTTAAGTTTGAGCGTATTTACAAGGGAATCATCATTCCAGGGTTTGATAGGTGCAGGATTCTGTCCATCCACAGTATGGCGAAGCGGCGAAAAGGCTGTTGCGGCGAAACGGGGGGGGGGTCCGAGCCGCAGAGCGGTTGCGAGCGAGGTGGACGAGGAGTTCATGGTCACCTTCGGTGCCCATCTGCTGCGCCCGGACCAGAAAGTGGAATCCCTGCGGGCCGAGTGCGCCTCGCCTGGCAAGCCGTCCCCACCGTTGCACCCGCTGCACCCGCGCGGAGGTCAATCCTTTTTGTGGGTTTGTCAAGGTGGCCGGTCAAGAAATGGCACGGATTCCATATCGATTCCCACGAGCCGCTGTGCCAAAGTCCGGCAATTGGAGCATTTTTCGGGTTGTTCATGTCCTGTGCTTAGCCATTCCATGCGAACAGATGTTGTCGGGCAACCCTTGCGATGGTATGTATGGGTTTCGCACCTTTGCTGGCCATTGTGCGGCCTTTAGTTTATGAGGCCTCAACCCCTGCGCCTGTTTTCCGGCCGCGGGGCATCTCTTTGTTTGTCGCGTGTCGTTTTCTCTTCTTTCTTCCTTCCTTTCCTCTTTCCGCTCCCCCTGTGGTGTGGTGTTGCCAAAAAAGATTCCTGATCAAACCAGTGATGGGGGCTCACAGCAGGTGGTGCATTTGGGAGCCACAGTGTTGGCAGCAGATGTTACATCATAGACATGAATCCGTGATGTCTAAGAGTCTAAGACATTTGGGCTTTCAGATGCGTGTTTCCGCACTGCCCAGCCCAACAAGCCAACAACAAAAGCAATAAGCATATTAAGCACCACAGAAGAAGCATGGCACATTCACAAGCCAAGCCAACATCACCCCCCGCCAACCAACGTCCGAACCACAGAATCATGTCCTTTTTGGCTTGCCTAAAAAACAGAGGGCGATTCCTGGTTTGTTTGGTGGTTCAATCATCTACCAGGGCCACACTTTGCTATCCCCCCCGGGTCCCTTCAAAATGGAATTGGGGGGAGGGAATTTGACCCCTGGAGATCTCCATTTAGGGTTCCATTTTCCCTTTTGTGGGGACTGAATTGGAGTTGTGGGACCCACCGGTCCCGCCCCCTTGAAGGTGGGGATGCTGTTCTGTCCTCAGAGGCTCGGAGGAGACGCAGCGCTTGGTGGCCCGCGTTTGCTTCTCCGGGCACTGCGACGAGTGGAGCAAGCTCCCCGGCGCATCTCGCGTGCCGCGCGCGATTTTCGCGCGAAACGCGCGTGAACCGGGGCGCGTCTTGGGGTTGTAACGTGTTTTTGTTATTCTTCTTTTGTTTCCCCCTCTTTTATTCCAAAAAAAATTGAATCAAATACATGTTTTTGAGAGATAATTAGATGCCGCCCTTTCCGGTGACAGAGTATTCTTGAGGGTCCATCGGTCCGTTTGAGACTCTGGCCTTCTATCCTTGGCACTCTATCCAAGTTCGCGACCCTAGGTGTTGAATTTGCATGCCCTGACGTGCCACAGCTGAAAAGCGTTCCGAGTGTCAAGCCAAAGCTGCACGACTTGATTTATGATTTAAAGTTCTGGTTGACGCTTTGCATCCAGCACTGGAGCTGGAAGCTCTAGAGCCACTGTTGTGGAGATCCTGGGTTGGAGGAAGCATTGACAGCGACATGAATGGGGCATTTTGTTGAAAGGAGAGTGGGATTTGGCTTTGTGGTTGGTCGGTTGGTTTGATTGCGTGGTTGCTTGCTTGCTCAGTTGATTTGGTTTGTCGATTGCTTGGTTGAGCCAAGTCTGAGTACTTGTGATACCTTGGGTTGCTTCTTTGTCTGTCAGCATCGGACCTCACTTCGAGTTGTGTTTTCCATTTCATTCGGCGAGAACCCTGGCCAGCGGTCCGCGGATGCGGGGGGTGGCTTTCTGGGCCCCGGGGGCGCCAGCGCTTGTTCAGCAGCCAGCAAGGCGCTGGCATGTCTCAGTTCAAAGCGAATCGACCGGATCTGACCTTTTGGCTTTCCCTGTTTGGGTTCCCATTTTTATCCATGGCCCCAAAAGGTTAACCTTTTAGTTCTAGATCCTTTGGGCAAGTGAGATTTGCAACATGGGCACCATTCGCTTCTGAGTACACCCTGCACCCATTGCAGATATGAATGTAGCATGCTCACACCAATGCCATGAATCATAAACCCGGACCCCACGCAAACAAGCCATTGCTTTGCCGGAAAACTGGTCTGTGCTTTTGGCAAATGAAGTCCTAGTCGCCTGTTATTTCCCCCTGTTTGCAAGTCTCCAAGATTGCGGAGGTACGCCATGCCCCGGTGCCGCATTTTCCTGGGCAGCCCGTGGCACGGCGGCAGGTCACATACCGGTTGTCCTCCTTTGCGTTTTTTTTTTTTTTGTGAGACTTACCCTCCCAACATGGCACCTGACAGAGGCTCCTTTGAAGAGGAAATAACGATCTTCCAGGTACTCTTTGACAGGTGCCATGTTAGTGGGAGGAAGTTTTCTCGATGGGATCCAGGAAAAACGTCGAATCCTAGGGGGTTGTCCATTGAGCTGGGCAATTGAAATGGGCCCCCGGGCGGAGAAAGGTACAGCGTGAATAGTATGGACTTCTTCACCGGGCATGCCTGCTCCGACAAGGGACGGCTCCTTTGTCCGCCAGGCCCGGTTGCCAGGTTGCCTCGAGAAATGGCCATGGGTCAACATCCCGTACCCCCACTGAACATCCCAACCCCCACCAAAATAGACTAAGATGGGTGGTGCACCTACCCCAAAATGGTACCATTGGTTTTGACCCACAGCGAAATGGGTGGATGGTACAGACGGTGATCCGAGAAATGCTGTGGGTTGGTGCTTGCTTCCATGAACCCCCTAGGGGTCCATAGTGTTCATGCAAGCCTCTCCCCTACGGGTGCCGGAAAATATGTCAGACCTGTCGAACCTCTAGAAAGGCAGAATGCTTGACAAGTACACTTCTTGTAGGACCACAAGTGCGGGGCCCCCAAGTAAGATCATCTTCTTCTTCCATTTGTGTCAAAGCAAATGGACCCCCCCTACATGGGCAGCTTCTTCCGTTGGAAGGCTTCCTTGGCCATGACTTCCACGTTGACGTCGGCGCTCGGAGCTCGTCTCAGGAGTGCCGTTGGCCTTGGAGGTGAAGCTGAAGGAGCATCGACGCCGCCGGGGTTGGGTTCCTTTCAAAGGTGAGAAGGGCCGTGCTTTCCAGGGCTCCTTGAAAGAAATCTCCATTTTGCCCACCCGATTTGAAACAGGTGGCTTTTTCCGTACCAGAATAAAGGGAAGCCACCATTTACAAGTTGCAATGTTCAGGTGTATAATGTAATAATCCCTGCTTTCTTTGGTGCATTTTGCCGAGGGATGTTCGGACTTGAACTTTTTAGCAAACTAAGGGGTTTTCCGTATTAAACTACGAACAGTTTAAAACTTTTAGGGAGCAGAAAGCAACCGTTTGAAAGGGGACCCACAAGGAACCACAGCGTTTTAAGCCGTTTAACTCGCGAATTGTGGTCCCTTTTCATGGTTGGTATTCTGCTGAAAATGCCAGCGTGAGAAGCATTCCATTCCAAGGGAAGCCACGATTCCAGACGACAAACAGCACCCGCCAACATCCACAAACTCCAGCATGCTGCGTCAAGTCTCTCTTCTCTCTCCCTCTCCCTCCTCCCTCCCTCCCTCCCTACCTCCCTCCCTCCCTCCTTCCCCTCCCCTCCCCTCCCCTCCCCTCCCCTCCCCTCCCCTCCCCTCCCCTCCCTCCCCTCCCCTCCCCCCCTCCCCTCCCCTCCCCTCCCCTCCCCTCCCCTCCCCCACTTCTTCTTTTTTTTTTTTTTCTTTCTTCTTTCTTTCTTCTTTCTTTCTTTCTTTCTTTCTTTCTTTCTTTCTCTCCCTCTCTTCCCTCCCTCTCCCTCTCCCTCTCCCTCTCTCCTCTCCCTCTCCCTCTCCCTCTCCCTCTCCCTCTCTCTCTCTCCCTCTCCCTCTCCCTCTCCCTCTCTCTCCTCTCCCTCTCCCTCTCCCTCTCCCTCTCCCTCTCCCTCTCCCTCTCTCCCTCTCCCTCTCCTCTCTCCCTCTCCCTCTCCTCTCCCTCTCCCTCTCCCTCTCCCTCTCCCTCTCCCTCTCTCCCTCTCCCTCTCTCTCTCCCTCTCCCTCTCCCTCTCCCTCTCCCTCTCCCTCTCTCTCTCCCTCTCCCTCTCCCCTCTCCCTCTCCCTCCTCCCTCCCTCTCCTCTCCCTCTCCCTCTCCCTCTCCCTCTCCCTCTCCCTCTCCCCCTCCCTCTCCCTCTCCCTCTCCCTCTCTCTCTCCCTCTCCCTCTCTCTCCCTCTCCCTCTCCCTCTCCCTCTTCCTCTTCCTCTTCCTCTCTCTCTCTCTCTCTCTCTCTCTCTCTTTCTCTTTCTCTTTCTCTCTTGCTTGGCAAAATGAGCGCCTCTTGTGCGCCGGAGCTTCCGGCGCGAGGCGGGCTCGCGGTCTGCGGGCCTGTGGGCTGCCATGATGGAGGGCCTGCTGCCGGGGCTCATCGCAGCCCGGCGCCTTGGCCTCCGGGAGGGGGAGTGGCGGGGAGAGGGGGCAGGGGGGAGAGGGGGGGGAGGGGGGGGAGGGCAGGGAGGGCAGGGCAGGGGGGAGGGGAGCAAAGGAGCTGTGGCGACGTTTTATTCTGGGGAGGGGTTGCCGAGGCAGTTGGCTCGTGCATTGCGTTCTATGAGAAGATCCTTCAAGCCGGCTGAGGTGGTTGGACCTTTCTTTGTGTTGCCACTTCCTTTTTATGAGAGGGTCCTTCAAGCTGGCTGCCATTCGCTCCGGAGGATGCTCGTTTCGGGGGGCACACGCAGGAGGACCATCACGGGCATGCTGCAGGACGGCTACACGGGCGCGGTGCTGGAGCGCTACTGCCACGAGTGGCTAGAACAAGACAGCTTCCGCCTGGGCTGCCCCAGGGAGACGTGGGTAGGCTGGTGAGGGCAGGGTTCCACCTTTTGCCTAAGGTAGGCTTAAGCCCAGGGGCTTTGCTTCTAGGGAAATCAACCACCCCTTGGTTTAACTCTTTTGGGGGTGGTCAAAAGGTAGAACCCTGGTTGAGGGCAGCTCCCCCCCCCCCCTCCCCCCCGCATCTTCCAAGATCATCGCAAGGTGGCCTGCAAGCAGTGAGCGGGAGACCGGAGACCCGACAGATGTTTGAAGTTGAGAGACCCCGCGCAAGAGTGAGTGGATGCTTTCAACAGAGCCCACGTGAATTTCGCACCCTGGCAGTCCTGTCGGGCTGCAATGCGTGCATGTATTTTTTGCCGCCCTTTTCAGTCCTCTCGCGTGTCAGTGAAGCCAGGGGTCGTTGAAGCACTCGCCAGGCACTGCAAACCGCATCATTGGGAAGTTCCTGCATGACAGGCGAGGCTTTGGCCAACAACTTGAGCCGTCCGGCTGTCTGGGCCGTCTGGCACGGCCGGAAGAGTTCCATACAGATCTGGGTTTGGCCGCGAATGCGGATAGCTACCCAGGCATGCATGTTTGAGGTTCAACTGCCAAGAAGAAGTTCCACATGCAAAGAAGCAGTTTCCCAAGAACTGACCTCCTCATTAGTCACACACTCTGTCCCTTTTGGCAATAGAGAGGAGGCAGAGCCCTTTCCTGGCGTGACCTCGCAACTTCAGCCACAACATATTGATGGGCGACCGTTATTTGTTGCGGCTTTCACCACTTTGAACATAGGTCGAACAGGGCTCCTTAAAAGATACATTTTGCCCATTTGAACCATGTTGCTTTTTCAACCCAAAAAAAGGGACACCTCCATTTACAAGTTGCAATGTTCAGGTGTTTTTCATGCATCCGGATCCCTGTTGATTGGTCAAAGAAAAAAAAGGCGCCGCTTGCGCATGTTCAGACGGATCCCGGCCTGGCGTCGCCGCAGGGCCTCGCCCAAGCTGGGTCTGCCGATGCACCTGTGCCCCACCTGCTGCGCGGAGGGCGCCCAGCGCCTGCGGGTGGTCTTCCTGCGGAGCCCCTTCGCCAGGCGGCGAAGGGCGGAAGTCGGATGGGCCCGGGGCCCGGGGAGGCGGGAGGATCTGGGTTCGGCGCAAAAATGGGGCCGTACGTTACATGGGGTCCTCGAAGCAGGCAAGTCAGAATTCGCAGACTTGTCTGAGGGGGAAAAAATCCGGAACTTTCAAGACTGCAAAGCATGCCCTAAAGCACACCCGATGCCAATGATGTTCATAAACCATCTCTCCACTATGCTTTTCTCGCCGAATCATTTTCAATTAGTAAATTGTGGCTGATGTCTCCACATATTACCGACAAACGTGTAGGCTTGCTAGCCACAGTGCTGCGGGTAGTTGGCGTTGCTTGTAGTCGGCAACTCCCACGTTTAGTCTTCATTGTTCAGAGAATACTGCTCAAGGGTCCCACCATCCTACCAGAGATTGGATTACTAGCCTTCTTAGTGTGTGGTCAGTAGCCCCGGTTAGTCGCCATAAGTCGGGTCCAAGTGAGCATCGCTCCAGGCTGGTTAGCTACTTCCAAGAGTGGCAGCCGAAGGCAGGCAAGATGCCGTTCAGCTCCTGGGTGGAGGAGGCGCGGGCGTAAGCGGCGTAAGTCAAAGGAGCTTGCAATCGGCTCATCTCTCCTGAAGGAGCAGCCAGACCGGACAAGCACCAGGGTTATTCCCGGAGGCATCGCCGTCAACTCAAGGTCCGGGATACCGGGTGCCTTTGGTGGCACTCTTTCCGAGGAAACAAGGAGGGAGGAGGGGGTGGGTGGGCAACCAGCAATGACACACAAGGACACGGGAAATGGTGTGTGTCAAACTCAGGGCCCTCAGATGCGATCAGATGAGTTTGCTTTCTTTGTGCTTTCTTTGGTGCATTTTGCTTGGATGTCAGGACTTTACAGCTTTTGCCAACTAATGGGCTTTCCATTCAGCCACTAATTGTTGTAAAACATAATAATTAACTTTTAGCAGGGGAGCAGACCGCCGAGTTTTGCTTTGCCTTTGAACTGGGCGCTTCGCCCCTCGCCGCGGCGCTTTTTTTTTCTTTTTCCTTGAGCCGCCGCAAAAGCCAAAACTCCGCGCCGCTGGCAGGTGCTGGCCGAGCAGCCGAACCGCTCCCTGATCCGCGAGAGGGACGAGCAGCACGTGGCCCCGGTGTTCCGAGAGACGCCGAGGCGTCTTTCTTGAGATCGCCGGCGGGCGGCGGGCAGATGTGGTGGGTCTTTTGCTTAGGGGACCCGTGAGACCCCGGACCCCCGAACGTGGTCGGTTCCCTCTTGGTGTACCTTTTCGAGTCAAATGAGCGGCTCTTGTCCGAGCGGCCCAGGTTTGCTTGGGAGGTTGTGCCCCTCAATCTCCTTTCGGCACCCCGTTGCCGGATTTCCCCCTTGAGGTCCGAAAAAATTGGGGGAAAACTCTGAACATGTGGTTTTGGGAGCTTTTGGAGCTGGCAAGGCCCGACCAGCTCATTTTCTTGCTGGAGGATGTGGCTGGCTCTGTTCAGCGAGTGGAGAAGGAGCTGCTTGTCTGTGCTGAGGATTTTTTTTGCCGCGGCGCAATAAGCAGACAGATTTCGGATATGGGTTACTTCACATTCAAACTGAGGCAACTGGTCAAAAGCTTGCAACAGCCCCATTCTAGCCTGAAATGGAGTAATACTAACCTTGAATGGGGTAATACAGCCAATGTTCACCGAACCTCAGTTTACTAGCAATTAGGGGGGTATCCTGAGTTTAGTGGTTGGAATCAAACCAATTTGGAAGGGGAACACCCCCCTATCAATCAACGGGGGTTGATTAATCTGGGGTCAACATTAGACCGGTGACCCGCCGGACCAAACGTGTGGTACAAGGAAGGCATCCCCACCTTTGGACCTCTCAAAGTGGCATTTTCACTGGACACCACCAGTTTGCAACAAAATCCAGTGACCCCTGGTTGACCTTTCGGTTTCGAAATGCCAAGAAGGGAGCTTTTCTCAGGATCCAGCTGGTTTCAGTCGTACGCCTGGTTTCAATCGTACGCAAGTGAGCCTCAAAAAACGACAAGCGACCCCTAAACTATTACCCACATCACGCATGACCCTTGCTTTCCTTGTGGTTCCCCTTCAACCCCCCCAAAAAATAACACAAAAAAACCACAAACAAAAACACGCACACACACACACACACACACACACACACACACACACACACACACACACACACACACACACACACACACACACACACACACACACACACACACACACACACACACACACACACACACACACACACACACACACACACACACACACACACACACACACACACACACACACACACACACACACACACACACACACACACACACACACACACACACACACACACACACACACACACACACACACACACACACACACACACACACACACACACACACACACACACACACACACACACACACACACACACACACACACACACACACACACACACACACACACACACACACACACACACACACACACACACACACACACACACACACACACACACACACACACACACACACACACACACACACACACACACACACACACACACACACACACACACACACACACACACACACACACACACACACACACACACACACACACACACACACACACACACACACACACACACACACACACACACACACACACACACACACACACACACACACACACACACACACACACACACACACACACACACACACACACACACACACACACACACACACACACACACACACACACACACACACACACACACACACACACACACACACACACACACACACACACACACACACACACACACACACACACACACACACACACACACACACACACACACACACACACACACACACACACACACACACACACACACACACACACACACACACACACACACACACACACACACACACACACACACACACACACACACACACACACACACACACACACACACACACACACACACACACACACACACACACACACACACACACACACACACACACACACACACACACACACACACACACACACACACACACACACACACACACACACACACACACACACACACACACACACACACACACACACACACACACACACACACACACACACACACACACACACACACACACACACACACACACACACACACACACACACACACACACAAGGCTTTTTCCTTGCGGTTCCCCTTCAAACCCCCGACAAAGACAAAAAAAACAACAAAAACACGCAGGGCTTCCCTCCAAAAGTTTCACCACAAGCACCGGGCCCCAGCGGACCTCGTGCGTCAGGCTCTGCGCCGGCTGGGGCTTCTGCCTGCCGCTGCCGGGCTTCCCGGGGGGCCGCCAGGGCGCCGGGCAGCGCGCGGCGGGCGCGGCGAACGCGCGCTGGACGCCGGCCCTGCGGCGCCTGGTGGAGCGCCGCTACGTCCATGACCGAGCCGACGCGCGGGGGGGGGGGGTGGGGTGGGGTGTGTGTGGGGTGTGTGTGTGTGTGGGGTGTGTGTGGGGTGTGTGTGGGGTGTGTGTGTGGGGTGTGGGGCTTTGTTTGGTTTGGTTTCTATTGGGTTCCCCACCGGGTCCCTTCAAAATGGAATTGGGGGAGGGGGGATTTTGACCCCTGGAGATCTCCATTTCGGGTTCCATTTTCCCTTTTGCGGGAAAGACTGAATAAACGGAATTGTGGGACCCCCCGCTTCCCCTCCCTTTAAGGTAGGAAGAATCTATTGGGTTGGATCTTTAGACTTTAACATTTTGGGCAATGAAGGTGTGTTCCACTAAACCGGAGTCGGGGGTGGAACTCGGGGTCTGGGTGTGTGTGGGGTGTGTGGGGTGTGTGTGGTGTGTGTGGTGTGGGTGGTGTGTGTGGTGTGTGTGGTGTGTGTGGTGTGTGTGGTGTGTGTGGTGTGTGTGGTGTGTGTGGTGTGTGTGGTGTGTGGGGCTTTGTTTGTTTGGTTTGGTTTCTTTGGGTTTGTGAATGGTCGTTCTCTTGTTTTTGCGTTTTTAATGGGATACAGGTTTGGCCTTTGGAGAAAGAAAGCTGCGAAAATCCGTTCGCTTGCAAAGAAGGACTGCTCAAAATTGCTCGGCAAGAGGTTTAGGTTCACACGCAGCGTCTTCCAGCAGGATGTAGGGCTTGAACAAGCTTGCAAGACGCGGACAACGAACTGCTGCGTTCATATATGCAGATTTCGGATTGGATGAAGCGGGTTTCCCAAACGTTTGTTCTCTTTTCGCGCTGGTGCTGGAGTAAGAGGGTCACTCGCTTGCGCCTCCCACTTTTGGACCACTGGGATCAACCACAAAGCCCCGTTGTGGGACACCTTACATGTCTACTCCATACCACCGCAATAGAGGCAGAATGTCTGCGTCTGTTGGTTTTGGGCTAGGGGCATGGGAGTACTTCGTCGGCAGATCTTCTTTTTATTTTCCTCCCTGGTCGCTTGCCGGCGCGTCAAAATTTGGGCGGCCAGGATCATGTCGCCTGGGTACATGGGGGCCATTGGGGCCTTCAGGCCTTCAGTGTGCCTAGGGGTTCAATGGGATGCATCCCGTTCCCTCCATGACTCCGTTGCCTGCAAAAGGAATCCGAAACAGAAAAAAAGGACCTCTTCCAACAGCAGGCTGGGCAAGCGAAGCTTTGTGGGATCCAAGGTTTCGGTAAGTGATGCGGACTAGGAAGAATCACTGTGGCGGATGGCAAACATGCTCCGCATGAACACCACTCACATTGAATCGCCTTGTCCACTCGGCGCTTGTCAGGACCTAGAAGCCATGGAGCGCTTGAGTGAAAAAGGGTGAAAAGTGGTTGCTGCTGGAGCTGTCGTGTCGCTTCAAAACTGGAGAGTGTTGCAGCATAAGCAACATTTAATCCAGTCTTGAGGCATATCTCAAGGGATCCTGTGTCAAACCGCTCACAGATGGATTTTTGGTCATGTGATGTCATGTGGCTTCGAGCTTCCGGGCACTGATAAGGGAGTTGAGTTGGGTGTGGTAGGGGACGGCAGGTGTGAGTCCATGCTTCCATTTACCAAGGCTCCATGTTGGGCACCTATTTTTGACCCACAGCCAGTTGAGTTGTTTGACTGGTGAGTCTGAGTTCACCTGAGTGCCCCTTAACGAAGAACAATGCCTTTTGATTCAGTACAGTCGAATAGGACGAACTATCCTACAGGCGTTCGGCGTTCTGGAGTGCTGACTGGAGTGAGGATGGGTGAGGGATATGAGCCTCTTAAGACATGGGCCCCTGCGCCAAATACTGGTTTGAGGCCTTTCTGATTTTGGATTCCCTGCAACTCATGTTGGCTTTCAATGTGAAATGTGTTTTGGGCCTTTTGAACCCTTTCAGTCGAAGAGGGGCGGGGGGCAGGCGTACACAGGGCCAGCTCATAGAAGATCGAGAAAACTTAAATTACACGCGGTGCCCGTGATCATTGCTTCCCGCCCCGGCCGCTTTTCCGGGAGCTTCAGAGCAAGTTACAGCCACAGACATCACCCCAGAGTCCTCAGCCCATCTGCCCCGCTAGTCGACGTTCGGGTGTGTCTGTTGGTTCGAGAGTAGCTTTTGCTTGCGGGTTTAAATCGGAACCGAAGGAAGCCCACTTCTTTTTTTGGGGGCGAGTCTCCCAAAAAAAGAGATACCCAGTCATCGATTCATGATGTGAATCCAGAATCTAGAGGGGTCCCACTCACACCCCCAGGTCAAAGGCAGCATTCCAGTACAAGTGTACCAAACAACAGGCGGTTTTCCGTTGGCGTCCCTTGACAGCACAAGAGGGGCAAACACACACACACACAAACACCCACACCTAGACATACATTCGCCTACACACACCTACACCTACGCACACCTACACCTACACACACCTACACCTACACACACCTACACACACCTGCACACACACACACACACCTACACAATCATACACGTACACTTCCTGCACCCAACCTCGCGCGCCCGGCATGGCCCAAGATTCGGACTTTCGGGTTCCGATTTTCGCAGTGCGCAGTTTTTTCCCTCATTGGAATTGCGCGTCATTGAAGGTGTGTAAGGAAGGGAGGTTGTCTTTTTTTGCAATTTTTGGTGGTTTTAAAGGGAAAGCAAGGGAAAACCACAATTGTAGGGGGTCTAAAGGTTTGGGCTGAAAAGACATGTGCAAGTAGAAAAACAAGCAGTTGAAGCACTCTCCTCGTGAGCCCTGTTTCGTTTTGAAGAGATGCCCAGCTGGAGAGGTGTCAAAACTTGCTAGGGACCACCTTGGGCGCTTTCGCAAATTCCAGAGGAAGCCGGCCTGGAAACCATTTCAAAAGCGCGGATGACTCCCACTGAAGGAGGTCACCAGGTTCTGCTTCTTCGGTCCGGGATGCGCTGACCATGCCCAGAAGCCAAACGCATTCAGGACCAGCTGCTGAAGAGGCTGCTACTTCTGAAGCAGCACCAGAAGGAGGCGTGGGTGAAGTGAAGGGAGGGGTATTCTGCTTGCTCGCTTGCCTGCTCGCTGGCTGCCTCGCTCGCTCGCTCGCTCGCTCGCTTGCTTGCTTGCTCGCTTGCTTGCTTGCTTGCAAGCTTGCACGTCGCTTGCTCGCTCGCTCGCTTGCTTGCTTGCTCGCTTGTGGGTTGCGTGGTTGCACGCTTGTTTGCTTGCTCGCTTGCTCGCTCGCTGGCTTGCTTGCCTGCTCGCTCGCTCGCTCGCTTGCTTGCGTGCTTGCTTGCTGGCCCGCCTTCTCGCGCCTCCTCGCTCGCTCGCTTGCTCGCTTGCTTGCCTGCTTGCTTGCTCGCTGGCTCGCTCGCTCGCTTGCTTGTTTGACTATTTAGTGTGTTGTTTGGTTGGTTGGTTTCTTGTTTGTTTGTTAGGTTGGTTTGTTGTTTGGTTGGTTTGTTGGTTGGTTGGATTGTCTTGCTTGCTTGCTAGGAGCTCATTTTTCTGGCTCAAGCGCAAAACCCGCAGGTCAAGGCCTCAGAGCCAGCAGCTGGCTCGGACCTCCAAGAGGATCTCGAATCGTTTACTCAGAAGGCGCTGCGGGCAAATAGGGTGCGATTTCTGAATTTGGAATCCGAAAGTTGTTGTCTAAGGCCGAACAACTCGTGAAAGTGCATAGGGCCCAAGCAGCGTATGTTGTCCACCGGCGAGTTGTTGCTCCTGGCTTTGCTGTTCTGCCAGCCTTTGCTTGCTGTCTTTGCTTGCTTGGTTTGCCTTCTTCTTTGCGTTGATCTCGGGTTGGGAAGGCGCAGCCACGGGGGCAACAAGAGCAATGGATCCAAGCTGCCAGGCCGAGCAGCTGGCAGCAGTGTTTTCTGCCTGGATCCCGGGAAGCTCCCTACAGCGCGGTTGTGGATGCTTAGCAGAGTTGGGTCACCTTGCGGAAGGAGGGAAGGAAGAGGGGGGGGGGGGGGCAACCGGGACAACTAGCGTGGGGGAGCTTGACACTTTAGCAGCGTAGGTGAATGTTTGCGCGACTTGTTCGAGCATTGCATGTATGTCAGGTAATTAGAAGCTTTTGCAGCGCCCTGCAGATTCCTCTTACGTCATCACGTCCAAGCCATCCCACAATTGGTTAGGGGGAATGAATTGAGGGTGCGGGTCCAGGCTGCCCTCACCTTTAGCTAAGGAACGTCCTTAGGACGAAGTTGGCCGGCTCGGCGGGTCGCTTGGGTCGGCTCGGACGCTGCAAGGCTGAACGCCCAGCTGATGAAACGTCTACTACGGCCACTGGCTTGGCGATTCAGATCGCAGCAGGGGCTAGGCTGTCAGGAGTTTCGTTTTGGCCTGTCGGGTCAACTAGCAGAAGATGCAGGCTGGTTTTGGACCGAAGCCTGGGACATGTTCTCAGCCGTCACCGCCGGAGTTCAGAAAAGGGTGTTTGGGACAAGTAAATTATTTTACTGTTTCAGGTTGGTAGAATGTTTGGTATTTTTTGGTAGATGTTCTTTGGTAGATTTTTCTTGTTTGTTCAGGTTTCATTTTTCAGGAATTGTGGCTTTTTGGCATTGGCAGCTTTTTGCAGGCGCTGTCGTGGCTTTAGCGTTTGGCGGCTGGCCCTAAACCCACTAAGCCCACCCTAAACTAACACACCCTGCAGTAAACGAACCTTAAACCAACCTCTAACCCACCCTTAGATTGAACCGGCGTTCTGTGAAGCACAAAACCAACAGTGTTGACGATGCCCGTTCAAAAGTTGCCGCTTCTCCAGAGAAACCCTCTACCAAAAAAAGAAGCAAGCTCCTGAATGAGATCCACGCAAGGTAGAGCATGAGCCCCTACCAATCGTCAACACTCAGGCCCCAGACCTGCCCAAAGAAGGCAAGCGCAAGAAAAAGGAGAAGAAGGCGGGAGATGGTTCTCCTTGGCCAGCTTTGTTTGACCGAGTTGCTGTTGCTGTTGCTCTTGTTCTTGTTCTTGTTCATGTTCTCGTTCTCGTTCTCGTTCTTGTTCTCGCTCTCGTTCTTGTTCTTGTTCTTGTTCTCGTTCTCGTTCTCGTTCTGGTTCTGTTCTTGTTCTCGTTCTCATTCTCGTTCTCGTTCTTGTTCTCGTTCTTGTTCTTGTTCTGGTTCTCGTTCTCGTTCTTGTTCTCCTTCTCGTTCTTGTTCTTGTTCTCGTTCTTGTTCTTGTTCTTGTTTTCGTTATCGTTCTTGTTCTTGTTCTTGTTCGCTGTCGGTCTCGTTCTTGTTCTTGTTCTTGTTCTCGCTCTCGTTCTTGTTCTTGTACTCGTTCTCGTTCTCGTTCTTGTTCTCGTTCTCGTTCTTGTTCCCGTTCTCGTTCTCGTTCTCGTCCTTGTTCTTGTTCTCGTTCTCATTATTGTTCAGGTTCTCGTTTTTGTTCTCGTTCTTGTTCTCGTTCTTGTTTTTGTTCTCGTTCTCGTTCTCGTCCTGGTTCTTGTTCTCGTTGTCGTTTTCGTTCTCGTTCTCGTTCTTGTTCTCGTTCTCGTTCTCGTTCTTGTCCTTGTTCTTGTTCTTATGCTCGTTCTTGTTCTTGTTCTCGTTCTTGTTCTTGTTCTTGTACTCGTTCTCGTTGTCGTTTTCGTTCTCGTTCTCGTTCTTGTTTTCGTTCTTGTTCTCGTTCTCGTTCTTGTCCTTGTTCTTGTTCTTATGCTCGTTCTTGTTATCGTTCTCGTTCTCGTTCTCGTTCTTGTTCTTGTTCTGGTCTTTTACTTTTTCTTTGCTATTTGTTCTTTGTTCTTTGTTCTTTATTGTTGTTGTTTGTTGTTTGTTGTTTGTTGTTTGTTGTTTGTTGCTGCTGCTGCTGCTGCTGCTGCTGCTGCTGCTGTTGTTGTTGTTGTTGTTGTTGTTGTTGTTGTTGTTGTTGTTGTTGTTGTTGTTGTTGTTGTTGTTGTTGTCGTGGTCGTGTGTTGTTGTTGTTGTTGTTGTTGTTGTCGTTGTTGTTGTTGTTGTTGTTGTTGTTGTTGTTGTCGTTGTCGTTGCTGTTGCTGTTTTGTTGTTGTTGTTGTTGTTGTTGTTGTTGTTGTTGTTGTTGTTGTTGTTGTTGTTGTTGTTGTTGTTGTTGTTGTTGTTGTTGTCGTCGTCGTCGTTGTCGTTGTTGTTGTCGTTGTCGTTGTCGTTCTTGTTCTTGGCCTTGTTCTTGTACTTGTTCTTATACTTGTTCTTGCTCTTGCTCTTGCTCTTGTTCTTGTTCTTGTCCTTTTTCTTGTTATTATTGTTGTTCTTCTTCTTGTTATTGTTC